ATTTATTTATTTATTTATTTATTTATTTATTTATTTATTTATTTATTTATTTTTGTCTTTTGTCTTTTTCCGTGTCTTTTTCAGTGTTGCCCCCGTACCGGACCGGGGACCGGCAACGGGATCGCAACCCTCGGCGTTGCCCCCGCACCTCGCTCAGCCAGTGAGTGGGAACCGGTCTGTATGTGGGATCCGAACCCTCAGGCGGGAGCGCCGCCGCGCTTCCCAAGCGGCACACTTATCCAGTGCACCACCGGGCCGGCCTATTTTTTTTTTTTTAAAGATGACCGGTAAGGGGATCTTAACCCTTGACTTGGTGTTGTCAGCACCACGCTCACCCATTGGGCTAACCGTCCATCCCTATATGGGATCCGAACCCGGGGCCTTGGTGTTATCAGCACCGCACTCTCCCGAGTGAGCCACGGGCCGGCCCCCATCTTTTTTTTTTTTTAAAGATGGGGGACTGGGACTGGGTCCTCATGTGATCTGCTGCTCACATCAGGTAGATACTGTCAGAATTGAATTAAATTGAACTGTAAGATGCCCAGTGGGTGTTGAGTGTTGGAGAATTGGTCGGTGTGAGGTAAAACCCACTTATTTAGTGTCAGAAGTGTGGTGCTGAGGGCTGGCCAGTTATCTCTTAGCTGACTTGGTTAAAGAGCAGTGCTGGGCCACCCCTCTAACTTCCTCTTTTTAGAAGAGAAACATGCATTCCCTCTATAAATCTAGGAGTCACAGAAGAGGATACATTATGTTGTTTTCTATATTTATTTGACCATGGAGCCCCTTTTCATCACAAAGCTCTATTTGAAGCAACACTGAGCAATCACATGAGATTTTCAACACTTTATTGTAAAATAGACTGTTAGATGATCTTGCCCAACTGTAGGCTAATGTAGTGTTCTGAACATGTTTAAGGTAGCCTAAGCTAAGCTATGATGTTGGGGAGATTAGTTGTATTAAATGCATTTTCGACTTACGAAATTTTCAACTTATCTTTGTTTTTGAGGTTTTTTGGCAGCTGGACGGTACACAAATGGAACCCTAGTCCTTTGTGTTATCAGCACCACACCAACTGAACTAACAGGCCAGCCCGATGTTTTCAATTTATGACGGGTTATTGGGATTAACTCCATCATCAATCAAGAAGCATCTGTATATAGTCCAGGCTGAGGACACCACGACAGCATTCCCGCAGCTGCTCCTTCTCTGACAGCACCATTACTGAGCCAGGGGCGCCAGAACCATGAGACTGGAGGCGTGGAGCACTAGGGCATCTTGGAGTTTTTGAGGCGGAAAGAGACCTTCAAGAGACCCAGGTCAAGGGTTCAGATCTCCCTACCGGCCAGCCGCCAAAATAAATAAAATAGTTGTTTATAAAAACCACAGCTGCAGTTCAGAGACGTGTGGCTACTGCCCACGGTTACGGCAGAGCCTGGTCTAGGACCCGGGCCTCCACACTACCACACCAGCTTGTTGGTCCTCCTTTTCCAGGTCACTCTGCAGCCGGGGCGACGTGCTGTCGCTCAGGCACAGCACTGCGCTGCGGCCGACATCGCACCCCGCAAAGAACGCGCTGCGCTCTGCTCCCCAGAGCCCAGCAGCCCCTGCCCGCCTGCGGCCACAGGTAAATGGACAAGCTCAGCCAATCCAGAGGGCTCGTAGGCAAGGAAGGCGGGACGAGGAGGGAAAGTTTAGGACATGAGTGCTAGCCAATCGGGAGCCTAGCTCTCTGAGTGATGGCCGCCAGCGCCCATTTGGAGACGCCGGTCACGAGAAGTGGGTCAGTGGACAGTGGACCAATCCGTGACGGGGGAAACGCGAGCTTTAGCCAATTACAATTGGGAAGGTGGGAAGGGGCGGAGCTCGCCCGGTGGCTGCTCGGTGGTGGGTGAGGGATCAGCTTTCTCTGCTAGTTTCCATCCTGGGATTCCTTAGCCTCTGGAATGCGAGAGGAAGAAGCTCAGGGAGTTCCTGGGGTGGGACGAACAGGCATCGCCCGGGAAGGGCTTGGGGCGAAAGAGACTCCTACTTGAAGGAGCCTCTGGAAGCCACCGGGTGGGAATCGAGGAAGCGAAGGCAGGCTTGTGGCTGGGACTTCCGGGGGCAGGGCTTTTTCTTGCGGGGGCGGGCCCTGCTAGTAAGGTTAGGCCGAGGGGGCGGAGCTAATAGGTCTTTGGGTGTGACCTAGGGAAAGGAGGGTAGTAACTTAAGCCAGAGTCTTGGGGTCGGGATGGTGTTGCCAGAGGCCTTGGGGTGACAAGCTGTTGTTAAGGGCTGACGTTAAGATTGCTGGGGAGGTTACCTGCCCTAACCCACTGTGCTTTCTTCCCAGGGAGCCACCGGCGGAGACCTCTCTTGGGCCCCCTTCCCTTCGCAGTGTGCTATGGAGTTTCCAGAGCACAGTCAGCAGCTGCTGCAGAGCCTCCGGGAGCAGCGGTCCCAGGGTTTCCTTTGTGACTGCACCGTGATGGTGGGTAGCACCCAGTTCTTGGCCCATCGGGCTGTGCTGGCTTCCTGCAGCCCATTCTTCCAGCTTTTCTACAAGGAGCGGGAATTGGACAAGAGGGATCTGGTGTGTATTCACAATGAGATTGTCACGGCCCCAGCCTTTGGGCTGCTTCTGGACTTTATGTATGCTGGCCAGCTGGCCCTGAGGGGGGATACCCCTGTGGAGGATGTGCTAGCAGCTGCCAGCTACTTGCACATGAATGACATCGTCAAGGTGTGTAAGCGGCGTTTGCAAGCCCGGGCCCTGGCAGAGGCGGACAGTACCAAGAAGGAGGAGGAAACCAACTCACAGGCCTCTAGTTTGGAATTTTCGTCCAGCACATCCCGTGGCCCCCAGCCTTTGTTAGCATCTGCTGAAACATCAGGCCATTGGGGAAAAGGGGAATGGAAAGGCCTGACCACTCCCTCACCTACTGCCCGTCCTCCAGATGAGCCAGCAGTGCCAGGTGGGGCTGACACTACACAGCCTAGCATGGAGGTTGACTCACCACATCTACGGGCTCCTCCCCCACCAGTGGCTGATGTCTCTCTTGCCAGCCCTAGTAGCTCCACAGAGACCATTCCTGGAAACTACTTCTCTTCTGGCCTTCCAACAGTTTCAGTGGAGCCCCTAACTCCTCTCGAAGTGGGTCCTGAGGGTCTGAGGGTGGTAGAACCCAGGGATACTGGAGGACCACTGCAAAGCTTCTATCCCCCAGGTTCAGCTCCAGCCCCGGCCCCACCCCCAGTCTCAGTCTCAGCCCCAGTGTCATCCCAGATGCCAGCCCCAGCTGAAGCTGAGCTAGTCCAGGTGAAAGTAGAAGCTATTGTGATCTCTGATGAAGAGACTGATGTGTCAGAGGAACAGCCTCAGGTTTCTGAGGGACTGTTCCCACCTGGAGGAGCAATGTATGGGGGACAGCCCTCCCAGCCAGAGGCTTTTGAGGAGCCAGGGACAGCAGGACTGGAGGAGGTAGGACCCAGTGACCACTTCCTGCCTCCAGACCCTCATCTACCCTACCATCTTCTGCCAGGTCCAGGGCAGTATCATCGAGGACTTGTGACTTCACCCCTGCCTGCACCCCCAGCCCTGCATGAGCCACTTTACCTGCCTTCTGAGTATGAAGCAGCCCCAGGAAGCTTTGGGGTTTTTACTGAGGATGTTCCTACCTGCAAGACATGTGGGAAGACCTTTTCATGTTCTTACACACTGCGACGACATGCTACAGTGCATACACGTGAGCGACCCTACGAGTGCCGCTACTGCCTGCGTAGTTACACACAGTCAGGGGACCTCTACCGCCACATCCGCAAGGCTCACAATGAGGACCTGGCCAAACGCAGCAAACCAGATCCAGAGGCTGGGCCCCTTCTAGGGGCGCAGCCTCTCCCTAGTTCCCCAACAACAGACAGACAGAGCGGCAGTGGTGGAGGTCCAACCAAAGATTTTGTACTTGGCCCCAAAAATTAGTATCTGGGGAGCATGAGCTGATGCTAGGCTTACTCTTACATCCTTAGTTGGCAGCACAGAAGGTTGGAGGCATCTCATCACTCCTGCTGGGTGACAGAATGAAGGTTCTTCCCAGGCTGAAGGTTCCTACCCTTTGCCCAGCCAGATAAGCTGAACTTTATGGGGCAGATCATATCGGTCAGCTCTCACCAAGGGCACTGGGAAGTTTCCTGAGATGTAATCGCTTCTCACTCTGCCTTCTGGAGCATAAAGCTAGCAGTGAAAGTATCTCTTTCAACTGGTGTTGACTGGTTTCTTCCAAAAACCTGCATGCCTTCACACCTCTCCTACAGTTCTTTTAGGAATCTGACATCTGTACTTGGGTTAGGGGTCAGACTGCTTATGAGGAAAAAAGTGAGAGGCAGAGGGCAATGTAGGTTTTACTTTGTACAAGTATACGAATTGGGAGTCTTACAGCTATGGTTTATTATCATAGTTGAGTTCTTGTGTTCTGGGATGTATTTGGTGCTTCATATAAATACCCATTTAATCCTCAACAACTTTATGAGCTATTAGTCACCCCCCGCCCCCTTTTTTCCATCGACAGGGAAATTTGAGATTCCAAAATCAAAGTTAATTTTTTCAAGGTCACAGAGCTAGTTAAATGGCAAGCCAGGACTTGAACTGGGCTTGTGACTCCCTACACCATGCATGCTATGCTGGTTTAAAACATTGTTGAAGGTAGTTAACAAAGAACTAGAAGTTGTTTTCTTTTTCTGTCCTTTTGAGTGTTTGGCTTTGTTCCTTTAACTTGTTACCTCTGATTTCAAGTAGAAAGACCTTTGGTTGACAACAGATACTGTATTACTGACTTGAAATTTTTGCCTACATGTTGTAAATGTGAATTGAGCTCTCTGAAGATGAAAAATGGAAAGGCAGAAAACACTAAGCCCCATGGTGGTAGGTCTGTCGGGGGAGGTTGAGGGCCTGTGTTGGTATGGAAATGAGTGCTTGGGAAAGCTTAAGCAAGAAACTCTGGATGAGAGGATCTTAACAGTTCATCTAGTCCAGCTCCCTCACATTAAAAATGTGAGATGACAACAGCCTGAGAGGTTAAACTACTCACTTAACATCACCCAGGTGGTTATTGACACTGGAGATAGAAAAGAAATGAGAGTTTGGGGTGTGGATGAGGGATGGGGGAAAAAAGAGCTCTAGGAATATAAGAGTCTGGCCCAGCCTGTGGTGAAGAGTGTGCTAGAGGTGAACTAGAGGTTTTCCTACACACACCTCTCTCTCATTGCCACATATGCACCTTAGTGTAAATAAAGCAGGAAAGAAAACAGAAAAAGGTGAAAATATGAGTAAATGTTCTGAATTTCTTTTCTCTTTGGGTCTGTATGTCATATTCAATAATGAACTCTTACTAGCAAGCTACTGTGTTTGAGTTATAGGAAGGAGACAGAGCTGAGCAGCAATTTGGCCAAAGAAAGCTCCTTACCTAGGGCATATGGGAAGCAAAAGTTGATGACGCTTAACATTTTTGCTGCCAAAAGAGTGAATTCTATACCTTCCACATTCCTTGTGTTGGAATAACCTTCAAGTTTATCTTTCAGATGGCTTCTAATTTTATTTATGTAAATATATTACTGCCTTAATTCCTTACTGAAACAAGGCAAGATATGTTAATATAACTGTAGCTATTCTAGTTGAATGGAGCACCTTTTCCAAAGTCCTCCCTAGAGTAAATATCAAATCAAAATGCCCATAAGAATCAGTTGCCTTTGTTTATTTATCTATTTTTTTAAAAAAGATGACCGGTAAGGGGATCTTAACCCTTGACTTGGTGTTGTCAGCACCACGCTCTCCCAAGTGAGCCACGGGCCAGCCCTATCAGTTGCCTTTAGAAGGGTGGATTTTATGGTCTGAGAATTATATCTCAATTAAAAAAACCACCACACAAAGCAGAAAAGAAAAAAAAAAAAAAAAAAAACAGTTGCCTGAGAATATCAGTTCCTAAAAGCAAGGCATAATAAATATGTGTCTACATGTATATATAATGTATATAATTTCTCTAGACAACCTGGAGAACACAGTAACCATTGTATTGGTCAAGTCCTGGTCAGGTACAATGTTTAGCCACACAGGCTGTTACTGATGAGATTCTTCCAAAAAGCAAGGATTTGTTTTCAGTTCCCAGCATAAAGTGCATTCTTTGCTGAAGGTGGCAGTCAGCAATTTGCAAAAAAAAAAAAAAAAAAAAAAAAAAAAACAGTTGCCTGAGAATATCAGTTCCTAAAAGCAAGGCATAATAAATATGTGTCTACATGTATATATAATGTATATAATTTCTCTAGACAACCTGGAGAACACAGTAACCATTGTATTGGTCAAGTCCTGGTCAGGTACAATGTTTAGCCACACAGGCTGTTACTGATGAGATTCTTCCAAAAAGCAAGGATTTGTTTTCAGTTCCCAGCATAAAGTGCATTCTTTGCTGAAGGTGGCAGTCAGCAATTTGCAAGATCTTTAAAGCAGTAGCCAACACAATTAAGGCCACTATGGCCTCAGTTTATCTGCTGGACATACAGTTTATACCAGTTTATACCTGTAGAGGTGTGATCAATAGAGTTCTCTCGTTTCCACTTCTCTTGATGGTCCCATTCATGAATTCAGGGAACCACAGGCTCTTAGGGGTCAGCTCATAAAATTTCTAGTCCAACACTAGATCCTCCTTTTGTTCCTCTGCTTGAAAGAGAACTCACTATTCCAAGAGGAAACCTACTGTTGGACAGTCCTAGTTGTTGACAATGCTTCCTAATAGTGAGCCAAAATCTGTCTCCCTTTATGGAGGGATGGGCCAGTCTCCAGCCTATTAAGAGTTTCACCCTGAGAATTTATTTACTTGTGAGCTATAATCTGACTTAGTTTTCAGACAACCACCCTTTCCAGCTTAGAGATACATTTCTAGTTTAGGATTGCATTTTTTTCTCAATCGGCTATTTTCTAAGTGTGTGCCTTCACTTGGTGTCTAATGCCTTGTCAGTCAACAGACATTTAGCCCAACTCGGCTCCACAAAACTCACCATTTCAGCACTGGAGTTTTACTTCAACTTTCTCCAAAGCCAGTGTTTCCAGGAATGGTTTACTTGGACATATACTAACATTTTTTTATTGTTAAAAAAAGAAAAAATGTGTGTGTGTGTGTGTGTTTGTGTGTATTTTGGTTAGTGACGTGAAGTGCTCTGCAGTCCCCTATCCAATTTCATCAGTAAACAATTTCAGTATGCATCTCTAAAAGGACTCCTTAAAAAAAGGAAGGTAGAGGGAGCTGGCCAGTTAGCTCATTTTGGACAGAGCTTGGTGTTGTCACACTAAGGTCAAGGGTTCATATTCGCATACCAACTAGCCGAAGGAAAAAAAAAAAAAAAAAAAAACAAAACCAAATACCATTATCACACAACAAAATTGACAATAGTTCTTGTTCAAGTTTCACTGATTGTTTCATAAAATTTTAGTTGTTTTTTTCAAATCAGAGTACAAACTACAGTCACACATTTATTTAATCAATGTCCCCGAAGTCTCTTTTAATCTATAGGTTTCCCTTCCCTTTTTCCTTGCAATTTATTTGTTGAAGAATTTGGGGTTATTTGTTTCAGGTTTGAAAGTCTGGAGTTTGCTGATTACATCCCCACAGTTTCATTTAACATATTCCTCTGTCCAAAGGTTCCTTTAAAAATACATATTTAAATAAAATATCGACTAAATATTAGTCCAGGTAGTATGTGCTTTCGGCAAAACTGTGAAGGTAGTGGAACTGAATTTAGGAAACACTGTTTTTTATTTTGTTTTTTGGGTATTTTTTTTTTTTTTTGGAGAATTATTGCTTAAGGGAAATACTGTTTCTATCTGTCCCTCATGTGTCAAAGTATGATGCTTTGCATCCACCATGAATGCTTTCTCTTCATTCAAATTCATCAAATCCTGTGTGGAATTGATTAAGGACTGGTAAAGTGAGCAGCACAAACTGCTGACTACAGAGATTCAGGTACCCTCTGGCTGATTCCTTCTGGATATGAGCTTGTCAGATCTCAAGACCCACATCAGACTGCCTACCTTTGTCCACTTTTCTGCTCATTAACATCTCCACTAGGAGCTGGGCTTTGAAATAAAAACTGCAATGTAAGCCTGACCACTGTCCTAACTCTTAGCAGTGCTAATGAAAGGATTAGTGCAATAAATTTCTAAAATGCATGCTTAAATTTCAGTTTTATTTTTTCTTCGTTGATGCAGAAGATAGCTTACTGTAACATCGAGTCTTTGAAATAAAAAAGGAAAATCTACAAGCAAAACCAGCCCAAAGCAAACAAAACATGCAACCTAGATGAAATTTTGTCAACAAACCTAGGCTTAGAAATTGAAGAAGTCTGAAAAAGAAATAAAATATTCTGCTTTTGTTAAGTCTGTCTTTGGACTTTCTAAGACTATTTGGTAGAAAAACTTGTTGTAAACTGATGGTTGTATTACTTAAAATACCTTTTATTCAGATCCCCATACAGGCCAGCAGCCAAAAAAATAAATAAAATAGAACAGAATAAAATACCTTTTATATAGGTACAGGGAGGAACAAAGGGATCTAGCCCATTGGGAGAGGGGGAGTTATGATAAAGGACTAGGGTTTTTTTTTTTCTTTCTGAAATGTTTGTTCTGTGGTTATATGATAGCTAATGACACATGCTCATTACCTCCATTTATAAAGGCAGAGGCAGTGCTGTATGGTCTTATCTACTATGTAGTTCCCACAACATCCTAGACATTATCCACTACACGTAAACAAAGGAGCTCTTGCTTGACAGAGCCTCCTACTGAGCCAGATCTGCAACCTGCACCCACGCCCCAAACAGCTTCCAGAGAGTTCCAACGGGTTCTTAAAAGGCACTAAGCATTGGGGCCGGCCTGTGGCTCACTCGGGAGAGTGCAGTGCTGATAACACCAAGGCCATAGGTTCGGATCCCATATAGGGATGGCCGGTTAGCTCACTGGGTGAGCGTGGTGCTGACAACACCAAGTCAAGGGTTAAGATCCCCTTACTGGTCATCTTTAAAAAAAAAAAAAAAAGAAAAAAGGCACTAAGCAAGAACAACCCTTCCTCATTGTTTCCCTCCTCTGTAAAGACCTAAGCTCTTGCAAAATACAAGATGACAGGTAAAGAATAGATTTATGGCCGGCCTGGTGGTGCACTGCTACAGTGCGCCGCTTGGGAGCGCGGTGGCGCTCCTGACGAGGGTTTGGATCCCACATACAGACCGGCCGCTCACTGGCTGAGCGAGGTGCGGGCGCAGCACCGAGGGTTGCGATCCCGTTGCCGGTCCCGGTCCAGTATGGGCGCGACACTGAGGGTTGCAATCCGTTGCCAGACACGAAAAAAGACAAAAAGGAAAAAAAAATAAAAATAAAAAAAAACAAAGAATAGATTTATGTTTTTATCTTGTTCTATTATGGTATTGTTCCTAGAAGACTTGGTAATCTGCTTTCCTATGTTTTTTAGAGAAACAAGCATACTATGGATATGCACCTGTTAAAAATTAAAATGTTTACTTAGGTGTTTTTCTGGCATAAGGGCTGAAGGGTTATTAAACATTTAAATGCTTAACTCCAGAGGTTTTTAGAACAGCTTAATGAAAAAAAATATATATATATATGCACACACTATATTAATGACCTAAGTATGAGCAATGGTAAGGACTAGAAACTACCAGGATAAAAAATAGGAACCAGATACTTTTGTTGGGGAAAAAGAATCTGAATGTGTGTGAAATATTAAGGAGAACAGGAATTAATTTAACCAAAAATGATTAATTTAAAATCTCTCATTTTAATACTTTTGGGCCCAATTTATAATTGGCTGGTTTCACAAAAAATATATTTCCCAGTTTGACTTTGGGCATCTGAGAAAACAAAGGAAGAAATTCCTTTCTGCTTATCTTTACTATTTCATCCTCTGCTAGCCTTCTCTTCTGTTTTGGGGTTTTTTTTTTTTTTTTTTTGGCTGCTGGCCAGTACTGGTATCTGAACCTTTCACCTTGGTGTTATAACACCAAGCTGTAACCAACTGAGCTAACCAGCCGCCAGACCCTAGCCTTCTCTTCTGTATATGAATACATCTAACAACATCTATCATTAAAATCTATGCCCAGAGATATGATTCATTCCACCTATAACTGATGTTTTCTGATTGTATTTCTCAAGGCAAAGTGTCTCCAACAATAACATGTACTGAAAGCAACACAAATATATAGATGGATAGACAAAACAAAACAAAACAAAAAACACAGACTGTGTGACTAGTAGTTTGTGTAGAACTGGAAACAAAACAGAAATCCACCTGGGTCAGAGGTATAGAGTTAATTTCTCTTGATGAGGCTCAGATTTCCCCTTCATGGGTCTTTAAAGGTTCTCCTAAGTTCAAGTGGAGGAGCATCTTTCTTCTTTGTTAACCAAACATGCCCAGGTAGAGCTGCTTCTCTTTCCTATGGTAGCTGCTGAGTTCCGACTGTGTAAGCTGTAGGTACCGCCGGACACTGGCATCTTGGAAGATGATGGAGAAGGCAATTAGAGGCAGCCTGGGGCAAGAGGAATGACACACTACCATTTTTTTTTTCTCTCTCCAAGTTCTGAATATATTGCAATTATTCTATGCATACTACATGCATAGAATACATACTACTTTGAATTTTTAAAAAGCTCTATACAGAAATGGGCTGGTTACTAATTTTTTTAATTTGTTTTGTTTTTTTTTTTTTTGGTGGCTGACCAGTATGGGTTTCTGAACACTTGACCCTGGTAATACAACATCTTGGTGCTCTAACTAACTGAGCTAACCAGCCAGCCCTGGTTGCTAAATTTTTTTTTTTTTTCTTTTTGGGGATTTTCTGTCTATGGGTCCCTGTGCCCCACAGCTTAGAGGCCTTCCTGCTACACATGCTGTTCCTGGTTGCTAATTTTAAAAGGAAAGGGAGTTTAATGAAAAAATATTATCACTATAGCAGAGCCTCTAAAGACACTATTCAAATAGGCAGCAGTTAATCTATGTACTTGAAGATAAAAAAGAAACAAATGGCTCATATTTTATTTCTTTATTAATTCACAGTGGCTTTCCCCATTCATTTATATTATACTGCATTGCTTAGATTTTACTGCATCAGGGATCCTCTGCTTCTAGCATCCAGTAGCTGCTTGGAGCCAGAATGCAAAAAGGGAGACAATTTTCAGTGTTGAACCAACCAACACAGAAATGAGTCTGTCATCAGCTTCACAATATCTTAAATTCTCTCTCAGTAGTCTAGGTCATATCTGGGCTTAGTTGAGCTAAAGGATAAAATGATAGCTATCCCCTTACCAGCCAGTGCCAAAAAAAACCCCCAAGATACAAAAGTAGCTAAAGCCTAGGCCAGACCCCAGCTAGAGAGCTGGCAGAATGAGGATTATCTAGTATATTTATTGGGATCCACATCCTATTCCAATCATAGTCTTAAAGACTAAAAACTGAAACTTGAAAAACAATGTTTTTAAAATCCCTGCTTGGGTGGGTGGGGGGAACTTTATATATATATATATATATATATATATATATATATACACAGGCCTATTTAAGCATAAACATTTCCTGAAGACATGCACAAAACTAATACCACTTTCCTGTGAAGATAAGAACACAGGAGCGGAGCAAGGCCTATTCATTGTATACTTTTTTATATTTTTTGAATTTTGAACCATGTGAATTTATTACCTATTCAGGAAAAATCAGGGCTGGCTGATTAGCTCACTTGGGAGAGCGTGGTGCTGATAACACCAAGGTCAAGGGTTCAGATCCCTGTACCAGCCAGCCACCAAAAAAAAGGAAAAAGAAAAAAAAAAAAATCAATAAATGTGGGTAGGTTGGTTAGCTCAGTTGGTAGAGTGTGGTGTTATAACACCAAGGGCAAGAAGGGCAAGAGTATGGATCCCCATACGGGCCAGCTGCACTCCCCCCCACCCCTAAATCAATAAATTGAAAAAGGAAAATAAAATAAAGCACCCCTTCCACAGATACCATCTCAGCAGAACACTTTCATTTGTTCTTACCACTTCAAGCCCCTTCTCGCTCACCTTTAGGCTGCCTATTGACAGCAGCCAGGAGGTAGTTCTGAGCCTGGTCATAGTCCTGCAGGTGGAAAAAGGCTACTCCAGCCCGATACAAGGCCTTGGCATTATCAGGTTGTCGTTCCAGGACTTTCTGACTGTATTCTCTCACTCGTTCATAGTTCACTGGCTCCATCTGAAGGAGACAGGCTAAGGGGTCAAATGAAAGGAAAGCCTTATTATACTAGGTTCCATTGGCCAGCTCAAGGCAGGACCAAACATAGGCTGATATCAACAATGTTCACTCATTCAACAAATACTGAAGTGTCTCCGAGGTTCCAGACACTCTTCTAGGTACTGGGAATGCAGCAGTGAATAAAAGCTTTATATACCTTATAATCTACTTCAATATCTACCAATTGCCTACTGCATATGTAGGGTTGGGTAAGGCCCAGCCATAAAACCACTAAGAACATACTTTAAAATTTATTTAAAACTCCTCTTCATTGTATCTCTTTTACCCAAGTGTCTATGTCCTCCACCCCGCATCTCACCATAGTTCTTATAGTACAGCTCTGTTAACAACAGTTGCCATTAATTTTGTGAGAAAATAGCAAGCACTGTGCTATGTGTTTGACATATACTATCTTATTTAATCTTTTTTTTTTAAAAGATGACCGGTAAGGGGCTCTTAACCCTTGACTTGGTGTTGTCAGCACCACACTCTCCCAAGTGAGCCACGGGCTGGCCTATTATTTAATCTTCTCATCCACTCTATGAGATTGGTGTTACTATCTCCATTTAATGGATAAAGAAATCAAAGCTCAGAGAAGTAAAGTAATTTGCCTAAGATCACACAGCTTCGAGGTGGAATGAGCATGAAATTTGAACTAAGCACTCTCTAACTCCAAAATCATTATCCTCGACGACCACACATTACTTCACTATTCTCTTGGATGATTAATGGGAACTCAGAATGGAAACCTGCTTAGGAGGCAATGTTCAGGTCAATGTTCTGCCTTTACATTCTGTATTTCACAACTGTGGGAATTAAACATAATTTGTTTTGGTGGCTGGCTGGTTTCAGGATCTGAACCCTTGACCTTGGTATTATCAGCACTTCGCTCTAACCAAAGAGCGAACTGGCCAGCCCCAAGATAGTATTACTAAATCATGGTTCTGAGCAGGACCTTAAAGGGCCTGGGCTATGTCTGCATCCCTTCTACAACATCCCCACCAAGTGGTCATATGGTTTATGGTTTATACTTAGATATTTCCCCAGTTGTCAAATAATCGATCACCCTAGCTTCATCAATTTTGTGTGTGTGTGTGTGTGTGTGTGTGTGTGTGTGTGTGTGTGTGTGTGTGTGGTTGGCTGGTGTGGGGAACTGAACTTGTGATCTTGGGGTTATAAGGCTGTGCTCTAAACAACTGAGCTAACTGGCCAGCCCCCCATTAATTCATTTGACAAGTAGTTATTGAGCACTGATCATGTGCCAGACTCTAAGCTAGGAGCAGAGGATAAGCAGAACAAGTCAGACACTTTGATGATTAAATAGAGTTTGCATCCTAATCCTCAACTGGGAGTAATATACAATAAACCAAATTTTTTTTTTTTTTTTTTTAAAGATGACCGGTAAGGGGATCTTAACCCTTGACTTGGTGTTGTCAGCACCACACTCAGCCAGTGAGCGAACCAGCCATCCCTATATGGGATCCGAACCCGGGGCCTTGGTGTTATCAGCACCGCACTCTCCCGAGTGAGCCACTGGGCCGGTCCCAATAAACCAAATTTTTAAAAGTGCTTTGAGGAAGATAAAACTGTGCTGGGACAGAGACTGAATGAAGACAGAGTGCTGCTTGGTTACAGGAGCCCTCTCTAAGAAAGTGACTTTTGAGCCAAGATGTTAATGATAACATTCACTCAAGGGACAGGGCATTCTATCTAGTCCAAGAGAAGAGAGCCTACAAAGCCTGAAGGTGGAAATGTGCTTTGAGCATTCAGTGCATAACAGAGCCAGGTCATGTCCGGCCTTGCAGGTGAGGGTCAGAGTTTGGATTTTCTCCTAAGTGTGATGAGATGTCACTGGAGGGAACTGTGACAGTATTAACAATGTACAGTATTCTGTAACAAGAATTTAAGCTCTGGAGGTAAGACCGCCTGGGTTTAATTTTAGTAATTTTCCACCACTACTAGCTGTTTCCTTAAATTTATCTCAAAGGATTGTTGTGACACTTAGGCTAATATTTGTAAAGGGCTTAAACAGTGTCTGCTCATGGCATTTCATCAATGTCACCTGTGACCCCTCCCTACCACCCTCTTTAAAAAGTGAACACCCCCATGCCTGTGGCACTCACTATTCCCATTTTCCAATTTATTCTTTTCCACAGTACTTATCACTATCTCACACAGGTTACTTCTTTTGTTTACTGTCCATCTCCCTTACTTGAATATATATTCCATTAGCACAAGTCTTTATATGTTTTGTTATACTGTTAATCCTCAGCACCTAATAAATAATTTGTTGAATTGAATAAATTGAAACATTAGCTACTATAATTACTGATATTGTTGAGTCTAAAAGTAGCATTGGACACATACTGAAAAAAAGCTAGGTGTTCACCAAACAATAGCTAACGACTACTATAATTCTAAAAATCACTTTTTAAACAACCATTAGGAAGTGTATAAACTATTAATAGTTTCTATGACCTCAACTTGGACTGTTAGAATGTTTCAATATACCTGCAATTTAATTAGCTCTATGGTTATTTTGCCTGCCATAGAACAGACTTAAAAAGTCTACTTCCACTTAGCAGGCTAATCCTAGATGATTCTATGGCATCCTAGATGATCCTATGGAATTCATCTCTTCACCCAAGGCCATCTGGAGATGGAAGATTCTAGTTATCAAAGTTACCTGATATATAGGAAAGAAGAAAATAAGTAAAAGCTTTACAAACTATCGAATATAAGTGATCTACACCACCAGCTGAAGCAAGTAACTGATTTCCAAAATATTAAATTTCCCTTAAAGAAACAATGCCCTAACCATAAATCCAGTTATTCTCTATAGCATGCAAAATTCCCTATAGCTATCAGCATTACTTGGGTGGTGGTCAGAAATGCAAATTGTAGGCCCCACCCACCCAATCTGACTCTCTTGGGTCGGGCCCAGGAAGTTGTGTTTTAACAAACTCTCCAGGTGAAGTTCCAGAAGCTCTGCTCTATGGTAACTCAATTAGAGCCCTGTAAATTGGAAATATACTTCAATTCATGGCACAATAACTGGATGACAGCAAAAAAGAACATCAGTGTCCCTTGCAGTGTTCACAGGTTTTCATGTTCCTGCCTCGATGCTTAGTACTACCCACACCCTTCAGCCCTATTCTTACCAGCTAGATTGTTGTAGCAGTCTGTCTGGGTGGCGTGCAGTATGTTTTCTTGCTCAGGTGTGAGAGTCGGGCCCTGAGGTCCTAAATTAGGTATCGGGGATGGCAGACTTGGATCCAGACCCCGCAGCTGAAGCAGAGCTCGATGGTACCTGCTCACAGCATCTCGGTACTTCCCTTCCCGGTAGCGCTGGTTCCCTTCTTCCTTGTACAGCTGAGCCACCTGCAGGCGCTCCTCCATGATCTTGTCGCCCGGTGTTTTTACAGAATTAGGAAGTGAAAGAGCAAGTGAAGCAAAATGACTGATTTTGGTAGCCAACTTAAGAAGGCAGAAAATTACCCTTCTTCAGGAGGTCCCCACACTGGGAGGTCAGTTTTGCTTGTTTCTACTACAGCCCCCACCTCTTCTCTCTGCAGTATTTTTCAGTCTCCAAAAGTGCAGAAAACTAGTTAGGAAGAGGATGTGAGGATGATAAAGCCAAAGATTAAGTAATTTCCTAAAGAGGCGACTCGGGATGAGAAGACTCCACGAAAAAGCAAAGGCCCTGCCAAGTCACTGCGGCAGGCGTGCGGGCGCCCGCAGAATCTGTTTCCCCCTTTCTTTTGGACACACCCCCCTGACCTGGAAGTATAAGGGACTAGGCGGTGACAACTGCTAAAAGAAGTCAGAGGGCTTGCCTGAATCCCAGCTGCTCTTCCCCCTTATCCAACCCGTATGTGTGGGTGTCTGTGCTACGAGCTGAGGAACCTCGGTGACTGAGGTCCGTGCACCCCAACCCCCAGGCGAGGCTGAGGCGGCCTCATCAGCATCTCATCTGCAGATGCCCAAGCCCGGAAGTCTCCTCGGGGCTTCGGCTTACCGGCGGGAACACGGCGAGGAAAGGGTCAGACCTCCCGACAGCTTGGTATCTAAAGGGTCGCGCGCATAGTACCACACCGCCCAATCAGAAGCGGCTCCGGAAAAATAATCCCGCAGAAGCGACTCCGCTTCCCCAGTGGACCAACCCGGAAAAAAAAAGATCCTTCAGCGGCTTCGCCAATTGGAAAACTTCGGATGATTATAGATGACCAATCAGAACGGCAGATGAGGATTCAAGTTAGCCAATAAGAGAGACGAAAGCTGGGGTCGGGGCTTGTTGCTGGGTAGAAGTTGAGGCGCTGAGAGGAAAGGAGGGCCAGGGGTTACTGTTGTTCCTGGGTTCAGAAGAGCCTTTCTGCTTAGTAGCCAGAAAAACAATTGCGAATAGACGTTGATGTTGCAACAGCTGCCTTTGAGGCTTTTCTTTTGCTGTTACTCTCTAGAAGCGCTGCAGGCACAGACGTTAGGGAAGAGAGTCTAGCGAACAGACCCTAAGACGCCGCGGCAACTGAAAATCAGACGGAAGTAAGGGTGGTGAGGGAGCGGGAGGGGCGTATGACGAGGGAGCTCCGGGAGGCTGCGCAGAACCGCCGGCTGGAAGTACGGAGAGACGGGCGTGCACACGCTTCCGTGCTACGAGGCACTTGAGTCGCAGCCAGCCTTGCCCGTCCCAGACTCCGGTGCGGCTGCGCGGTAAAACCACCGGCGGCGATTGGTCCAGCGGGTAGAGGGGCGGGAGGAGGCGGGAACTCCGTCGTCCTCCGCGCGTGCCCGCCCGCCCGCGGCAGGGGAACCGAGGGTCTGGAGGAGAAGCGGCGCCCGGTTGGGTTGTTTTGGGCTCAGTGAGCCGAAAAGGGGAGGAGTGGAGAAGGGAGAAGCGAGAAACAAACATTACGTAGCCGGGACCGTGCGCGGCCTCCGCCGCCTGCGTGCGTGCGCTCGCTCGCGCGGGCTCAGTGCTGGCTCGTGAAGAGGAGGCGGGCGGCGGCGGCGCCTGCGCCTGCGCGTTCGGGCTCGGGCGACAGTTCGCAGGGGAGGAGGCGGCGGGAGGCGGCGGCGGTGGCGATGGAGGTGAAGCGGCTGAAAGTGA